CCTTGCGTAGTTCCTTTATTGATCAGGGCGTCGAGTCGCTTATTTCTTTGAAGTCTAAGCTCCTGCCGCATTGCTCTGCCCAAAGCTTTTGCACATAACAATCTGTCATGCTTGGTGGCTGCACTGTTCCGTTTTTTCCTGAGCTCCTTGATGCGGTCTGCAACTGGCTCGTTCGTGCTCCCATTATTTGGTACCGTCCCGCACCGAGAAGCAGCTCGGATAAGAGCCTCGGTCGCGCCGTCCACTGTCCCACAGCTTTCTCGTAGAGCCGCTTGTTGGGCCTCGTGGTACTCCTGCTTGGTGGATTGCATTGCCCAACCCTTACCAACTTTCGGTTGAGTCCATCTCTTTTTTCGCCGCGCCTTGCTTCCCACCGTTGCCCAAACTGCTCTGTGGTCCGTGCTCTGCAAGAAATCGTGCACAGTATCTGAATTCCGTATCTCTGAATTGAGCGTCCGGTCAAATAATATATAATCGATCTGTCTCAAAGCTCCGGTGCTCCACATGCGGTGCGTCCATAAGTCATTTTCCCTCTTGTTGAAGAACGTGTTGGCGATGCATAGCCTCTGCTGCTCTACCCATGCTGCGAAAAGCACCCCTCTGGAAGAACGGGTGCCGAGTCCATGCTTACCTATGCTGCCCGTGTCGTCCTCCTCGTACTGCTTGCCCACCTCGGCATTGGAGTCTACTCCTATGACTGTCTTTCTCGATTTTCGGTATTGTGGGAGTGTGCTCCGGAGTACTTCCAAAGCAGTCTCAAACTCGATATCTGCATACCCACTATGAGGAAGATGTGCGGATATCGCTCTCCATGCGCCTATCTTTGACGATAGGTCTGCGTATGCTACCCTGCCCCCCTCCATTGCGTGAAAGCGTTCGAAACTTGAGACGCGAGACCGGTGTATCAAGATTGCCGTACTCCTCTCCCTCCCCCCTCGTGCTCCAATGCACCACAGGTGTCCCCCCATCACCGTCTCGATTGTGGTTCGGTCGTTTCCTGGCCCCTCCTGCACAAGAATGACGTCCCAGCGAAGATCCAGAGAGTTTGCGATGACAAGGAAATCCTCGAATGTATCTTCGCTCAGCCCCGCCGCATTCCACGTTAATGCGTAAAATAACTCGTGTTTGGGTCCGGGATGTATGTTACAAGGTTGTACGTCTGAATGTTCATTATGTCCATCTGCTCCGTGTTCCGCGGCTTCTCCTTGGGAGTGCTGGGGAAGACTCGGATCATCACGATCGTCACTCCTGTTAGGACTGTTACCAAAAACTGTCCCAGATATGCAAAAAGGCACGTCTCCAGAAACTTGGTGATACATCCCCCTCCCTCCGCTTCCATTTTGTCCCCTTTGGGGCATAGACGCCGTAGGTATTGGGTGTGAAACCGACGATGGCGAAGTAGAATCACCAACAAAATATGTAAACGTCTTCCTGCTTTCTCTTCCAACTGTTCCTGCTCCTCCTCCCTTTCCTTTGTTTGTGGATGAACTTGTAGGGGTTGTGCTTGTACAGGTACTCTGCAGCGCTCTGCTGGTATGTAGTCCTCCCTGCCGGTGTGGTCAAAGATCGTCGTCTGTGGCGCCGGTCCGTTTGCTCACCCAGGTCTTCATGAAGGACTGCACCGCTTCCTGGACTTTCATCCCCTCCCCCCCGTACTGCATCCCCTTTCCCTCCTCTTCCCAAGCGACCTGTTTGCCCTTCAATGTTACCACCCTCTGCTTCCACTTGATAACGATATCCTCCAACTTGTACCCATTACCTTCGTCGTGGAGGAAACTTTTGATTTTTCCCAATTCCTTGTCAATCGTACGCTTCGCAATGTTGTCGTTACTCTTGAAACGCATCTCGGAACCATTTTCCCATGTATGTTTCGCCCTTGACGATGCCTTCAAAAATCCAATCTTTGATGCGACCGACTTGAACTGTATAACCCCAATTCTTGAAGGATCCGTGAATACGAAGATGTCGGTGCACTTGCTCCCCGCCCCAATGTCGTCCACCACCTTCCTTACCTGCTTGATGATGTCCTCCTCGTCCTCCGCCTCCTTTAAGCCAGTAGCTATGGCTTGTAAGTCCCTTACCTTGTCCTCACTGTCCGGAGTATGTGCCTTATGGGATCTTTGGCTTGATGTCGTGTTGTGCTGCTGCATCGTGTTTCGGAGCTCTTTCAGCTCGTTCTCAAGCTGGTCATCCTTGTTCTTCATGTTCGTGATGTCATCTTTGATGCTCTTGATCGTTGTCATTGCTGTCTCTGCTGTCTCATTCGCCGAATTGGCGATGAATTTCACCGACGACATGTCCCTCTGCAGGTCCATCATGGCCTCGAGTATCTTGTCGATCTTCTCCTCTTGGGTCATGTCCGCCTTTGTTTTCTTGCCTGGCGGGCTGCTCCCAGTTGCACTGTCGGGCTTGCGCGCGCCCGCGATCATAGATTTGACTTGCTCTATCTCAGCCTTTGCCCTTATAGTACAAATCAATCCCTGCACTGGCCAGCAAGGAATGAGCTGTAGGAAGTGAGCGAGTGAACATAATGTCTTGAACAGAATGTCTTGAACAGAATGTCTTGAACAGATGATGATGATGATGATGATGATGATGATGATGATGATGATGATGATGATGATGATGATGATGATGATGATGATGATGATGATGATGATGATGATGATGATGATGATGATGAGAGGAGGGAATGGGCAGCGGGAGGAAGAGGAGCTAACCCGGGGCGCTGTTTCTTCAAAACGAGGACCCAACAGCACAGGATGGTTGGGAAGAAGACTAAACGAATTAAATCGCGATCACCGTCGGACGCCCGAACCGAACGCACCCCAATGGTGGCCCTCAAGGAACGGGTCCAATGGGCATTAGAATTTGCTGAGGCCCCCGTCTAGGTCTTCGGCAGCACCAATAATGAAAGGCGTGGCATCGCCTGGGGATTCCAAGAGAGCAGAGGCGGCGTGACGATGAAGCGATGAGGCCAGGAAAAGAGCACAGCGGCGGAGATGCTTAGCCGGTGCAGTCCTGAAACCTCCCGAGAGGTCCTTGCCCAATGGCGTGGTGTGGGAGCCTGGAACATGGCAACATCTACGTACCTCTACCGGGCACATTAGCGAGTGCCTGACGGAAATGGAACTGGTTGATTACGAGAAACACCGTAGGTTCGACACTCGGGGCCTCAAAACAGCACTGATCGACCCGAACGAAGTCAGCCGTGCTTTTATCCTGAGGCATGGTGCGAAGGTGAACCATCTCCGAGACAAACCAGGAACTGGGCAGGAATGGGTCAGGAGGCGGAGCGGGGTGTTCCTGGATGCCTGCAGCACCCTCCTGCTCCTCCTCCTCCTCCTCCTTCTCCACCTCCTCCTCCTCATTCCTCTCCTTCCTCTCCTGCCTCTCCTCCTCCTCCCTCCTCTCCTCCTCCACCTCCTCCTCCTCCTCCTCCTTCTCCTCTTCCTGCTCCTCATCCTTCTCCTCCTCGTCGTCCTTCTTCTCCTCATAGTCCTCCTTCGCCTCCACCTCCTCCTCCTTTTCCTCCCTCCTCGTCCTCCTCCTCCTCCTCCTCTTCCTCCTCCTCCTCCTCCTCTTCTTCCTCGTCGTCGTCATCCTCCTGCTCCTGCTCCTCATTCTCCTCCTCCTTCTCCTCCTCCTCCTCCTCCTCCTCAAGCAATCTTCATCCACATCCTCATCCTCATCCGCGTCATCATGATCATCAACATAATCATCATCATAATCATCATCATCATCAGCATCATCAGCATCATCATCAATATCAACAGTCATCATCATCATCATCATCAGCAGCAGCATCATCAGCATCATCATCAGCAGCATCATCATCATCATCAGCGTCATCATCGTCATCAGCATCATCATCAGCATCAGCATCAACATCTGCATCAGCATCAGCATCATCAGCATCATCCTCAGCAGCATCATCAACAGCATCAGCATCAGCATCAGCATCAGCATACGCATTAGCATAACCATAATCATCATCATCGCCATCATCATCAACATCAACATCATCATCAGCAGCATCAGCATCATCACCATCATCATCGTCATCAGTATCAGCATCATCGTCGTCAGCAGCATCAGTATCATCAGCATCAGCAACATCCGCAGCATCATCATCATTATCATCATCGTCGTCATCAGCATCATCAACAGCAGCATCAGCATCAGCATCAGCATCAGCATCAGCATCAGCATCATCAGCAGCATCAACATCATCATCATCAGTATCATCAACATCATCATCAGCATCAGCATAAGCATTAGCATAACCATAATCATCATCGCCATCATCATCAACATCAACATCATCATCAGCAGCATCAGCATCATCACCATCATCATCGTCATCATCATCAGCATCATCGTCGTCATCTGCATCAGAATCATCAGCATCATAATCACCATCATCATCGCATCAGCAGCATCGTCATCATCAGCAGCATCAGCATCAGCATCATAACCATCAGCAACATCATCATCAGCAACAGCATCATGATCAGCAGCATCAACATGGTCATCAGCAGCATCATCATCATCGTAATTGTCATCATCATCATCATCATCAGCATCATCATCACCATCACCAGTATCATCATCATAATCAACATCATAAACAACATCATCGCCACCAGCATCATCAGCATCACCAACTGCATCTTCAGCATCATCACCAGCATTCTTCGTTTCATCATCATCAACAGCAGCTTGAGAAGCATCATCATTAGCATCAGCATCCACAGCATCATCATCAGTAACATCATCCTCAACATCATCATAATCATCAACATCATCACCATCACCGTCGTCATCATAATCAGCATCAACGACACTCAACATCACCATCACCATTTGCATCATCACCAACAGCATCAACAGCATCATTACCACCATCATCACCCTTCCCCTCATCATTTTCCTCTTCCTCCTCGTCCTCCTCCTCCTCCGCCTCCGCCTCCCCCTCCTCCTGACTCTCTCATCTTATTTCTTGCAGTCCAAGCGTTCCTCCTACTCTTGGACACTGTCTGGCAGGCCCGCAAACCGTCGACCTCGGCACCCTGCACCCCTCCGGACTCCGTCCGTCCCGAGGCCGTTGCACGCGCGCGCCATGCTCGGGAGCGCTTGAATATGATCTTGCGAGGCCGTGTGAGAAACCAGTACGGCACCGCGGAATTCGCACGCGCAGAAAAGAGAAGGGAAGATAAGAGAACAGAAGAGAAACAAAAATGTGAGGCCAGAAGTGAAGAGAGCAGACAGAAGAGAGAGAGAGAGAGAAAGAGAGAGAGAGAGAGAGAAAGAGGAGGAGCGAGAAGAGGGACAAGGGAGGGAAGGGGGCAGAGGGAGAAAGGAAGAGCAGTAGGGGCTGATAGGTGGGAAAAGCTCTTTGGATTGCAGTCGTCAGGGTATACCAAATTCGCACGTGTTTCAACATTTAGGCCCTGTGGCACCCACAGCGCCCCACGCTCACCCACGAAGAGACCGCGTCCGTCAATACACCACCGCGCCTGCAGCATGTAGTGGAGCGACCAAGGGCGCACGCAGCCCTGAAAAGTTCAGAATTGCAGTATTCGATAGAGCTTTTGGGGCCACCGGTTTTCAAAACCATTCCTGGAGATCTCGCGGGATTAAGTGGTGGGACCCCCCAGGCGTATCGCGCGCGTCCTCCGGTAGCGCAGCCAGCCAAACATGGACCCAAAAAATGCCCTAAAGGGCCGAAGATGCCTCCGAGCTGACCCAAGAGTGCCCCAATACGCCAAAGATGGCCTCAACACGGCCCAAGAGGCCCCGATGATATCCCAAGAGTGTTCCAAGAGGCGTCCCAAGAAGGCAATGGAGGTAAAATTCGCTACTCGTCATGAGTTTTTGAAGGCGTTTGACCTTCTCGCCTTTTCAGCTCTCCGACGCTCCAAGACGGCCCACGAAGCCCCAAAGATCGCCCCAAGACGTCCCCAGAGGCCCCCAAGACGGCCACACGACTGCCCAAGAGGGCTCCGAGATGGCCGAGGAGACGCCCAAGACGGCCCAAGCAAGGCACGACTCAGGCCTCAGTACCTGCCGCGGCGCCGTCACACTCAGGTCGATATGCTGAGAACGCCGTCCAGCTCTCCCTGCAGGTCGGCTAACTGCCACATCACCGCGTACGCATGGTTCTTCCAGCACCGAAGGATCCTCCTCTGGCGCCGTCTCTGCCTCCACCGCAACGCCTGGATTACAGCAACAGCCGCCGTGGGGGCCGCCTCCGAGCTCTCCGCCGCGGCGCCGCCCCGTCCAGCCAGGCGCCATCCAGCTGCCAGACCCTCGCCAAAAGCCTCCGCCTCAGCCACATGGTCTCGCGGTTGCTAGACACCTGGAGCCAGCCAGTCGGAGCCTCCCGCGACCACCTCGAGCTCCGAAGCCACCTCCGAGCCCACGTCCACGACGCCCAACGACGCCTCGATCAGCTCGGCCTCCGAGTCCACGCCCACGACGCCCATCGACGCCACGAGGATCAGCTCGGTGCCTTCCCCCTCGCCCCCTCCGACGCCACGGGGCTCTGGGGGTCCATCTCGCTCTGTCTCGCGTGGAAGATGCTCTCGACGTACTCTGCCGTCAACACCTTCACTACCTTCATCGGAGGCCTCATCCGCCATGCTGAGCAGCCTCGGCCCGAGCTCGGCAACGTGGATAACTTTTCCCCCGCTCTCGAGCGCCTCGCTGCAGCTGGTGATGCCGGGCTCCAGCGTCGCCTCCCAGTCCGCGCTGAGCGGCGCCAAAGCCCGCTGCCCCTGCTCGCCCTCCACGCCCTGCACGCACGGGGCGTCCTGCATGTCCAGCCGCGGCCCGCCTGCGGCCCACGCTAGCTTCCACGGAGAAGCCGTGGCGACGCCGCCCGCGGGCACACGCACCGCATGCTGCGCGTTGCGCCGCCGCCTGGCCGCGCCAGGCACCCGGCACCCAACCGCCCGGCACCATGACGCCGTCCGAGAGGCAAGCTCCCGATCACGCCACGAGCCAGGGGCGCTGCCTGCGCCCACGGCTGCTCGCAGGGCCACTTCGCAGGCCGAGCAAGCTCGCGCCCGCGCAGCACGGCGGGCGGCGGTAGGCCCCAGCGCTGCCGCCTCGGCCGCCCGCCGCGCCGCAGGCCGCCATCGCCTTTCGGCGGGCGGCCCCCCGCAGCCACCTCCTTCAGCTCGTCCGCCGGCCCGCGCAGCCACCATGCCCCCGCGACGGACGGAGAGGGGAAGAACCAGCTTGAGCCAAAGTGGCTCGAGCCAAAATGGCTACGGAGGGGAAAAAAACAATTATCCCGGCGATGTCCCAACCAGATGCAGTTGTGGGTACCGTAATTGTGAATATCTGCTTCGGTGAAGCTCCCTATGGGGCCACGAAGCGCTGCTCTGGGCGGGGGGGAACGCTGTACTGTGTGGGTGGTGTGCCGAATTGGGTTTCTGGGACGCATGCGGACGGTCCCACTGAGGGCTTCGGTGGAGCTCCCTATGGGGCCACGAAGCGCTCTACTGAGTGAGTGAAAATGCCAAATTGGGCTTCCGGGACGCATGCGGACGGTCCCACTAGGGGCTTCGGTGGAGCTCCCTATGTGTCCACGAAACGCTGCACTGCGCGAGTGAAAATGCCGAATTACATTTCCCGGACGCATACGGACGGTGGCACTGGGGCCTTGGGTGGAGCCCCCTATGGGGCCAGGAAAAGCTGCACTGGGTGGGTGAAAATGCCAAATTGGGTGTGCGGGACGCATGCTGACGGGGGCACTGGGGCCTTCGGTGGAGCTCCCTATGCGGCCACGAAACGCTGTGCTGGGTGTGCGGAACGCATGCGGACGGTAGCACTGGGACCTTCGGTGGGGCTCCCTATGGGGCCACGAAACGCTGTGCTGGATGTGCGGGACGCATGCCGACGGTAGCACTGGGACCTTCGGTGGGGCTCCCTATGGGGCCACGAAACGCCGCACTGGGTGGGTGAAGCGCAGAGAGGAAGGGGAGGAGGGCCACGAAACGCTGTATTGGGTGTGCGGGACGCATGCGGACGGTAGCACTGGGACCTTCGTTGGATCTCCCTATGGGTCCACGAAGCGCTGTAATGGGTGTGCGGGACGCATGCAGACGGTAGCACTGGGACCTTCGGTAGGGCTCCCTATGGGGCCACGAAGCGCTGTACTGGGTGTGCGGGACGCATGCGGACGGTAGCACTGGGACCTTCGGTGGGGCTCCCTATGGGGCCACGGAACGCGTACTGGGTGGGTGAAACGCAGGGAGGAAGGGGAGGAGGGCCACGAAACGCTGTACTGGGTGTGTGGGACGCATGCGGACGGTAGCACTGGGACCTTCGGTGGAGCTCCCTATGGGGCCACGAAACGCTGTGCTGGGCTCTGCGGGACGCATGCGGACGGTAGCACTGGGACCTTCGGTGGGGCTCCCTATGGGGCCACGAAACGCTGTACTGGGTGTGCGGGACGCATGCGGACGGTAGCACTGGGACCTTCGGTGGGGCTCCCTATGGGGCCACGGAACGCCGTACTGGGTGGGTGAAACGCAGGAGGAAGGGGAGGAGGGCCACGAAACGCTGTACTGGGTGTGCGGGACGCATGCGGACGGTAGCACTGGGACCTTCGGTGGAGCTCCCTATGGGTCCACGAAGCGCTGTACTGGGTGTGCGGGACGCATGCGGACGGTAGCACTGGGACCTTCGGTGGGCTCCCTATGGGGCCACGAAACGCTGTACTGGGTGTGCGGGACGCATGCGGACGGTAGCACTGGGACCTTCGGTGGGGCTCCCTATGGGGTCACGAAACGCTGTACTGGGTGGGTGAAACGCAGGGAGGAGGGGGAGGAGGGCCACGAAACGCTGTACTGGGTGTGCGGGACGCATGCGGACGTTAGCACTGGGGCCGTTGGAGCTCCCTATGGGTCCACGAAGCGCTGTACTGGGTGTGCGGGACGCATGCGGACGGTAGCACTGGGACCTTCGTTGGAGCTCCCTATGGGTCCACGAAGCGCTGTACTGGGTGTGCGGGACGCATGCGGACGGTAGCACTGGGACCTTCGGTGGGGCTCCCTATGGGGCCACGAAACGCTGTACTGTGTGCGGGACGCATGCGGACGGTAGCACTGGGACCTTCGGTGGGGCTCCCTATGGGGCCACGAAACGCTGTACTGTGTGCGGGACGCATGCGGACGGTAGCACTGGGACCTTCGTTGGAGCTCCCTATGGGTCCACGAAGCGCTGTACTGGGTGTGCGGGACGCATGCGGACGGTAGCACTGGGACCTTCGGTGGGGCTCCCTATGGGGCCACGAAACGCTGCACTGTGTGTGCGGGCCGCATGCGGACGGTGGAGGAGGAGGGGGAAGAGGAGAAGGAGGAGGAACGCGGGGACGTTTCTTCAAAACGAGGACCCAACACCACAGGATGGTTGGGAAAAAAACGAAGAGGCCCCAAGAGGCTCCCAAGAGGCCCCAAGAGGTTCCCCAGAGACCCAGAGGCCCCCCAAAGCCTCCATAACTGCTCCCAAGGCCCCCGAGAGCGCCCCGAAGAGACCAGAAGGAGCATCCCCGAGAACTCTGACCCACAACCCAGGCACAGTGGCGGGATGGGCCGAAGGTCATTCGCTTGCTCTGCCCAGTAGTCCTGGTGGGCAAAACTGGACTGGCCAAGGCATGCAGAAGCTTCCCGAGGCCAGGCAAAAACACGAATGCAAACGTCTAGAATCCTGGATTCTGGATCCTCTTCGGCCTCGAAGACACGTCAGCAGACGTCAGAGGGACGAGGATACAAAGCCAAACACCAGCCCGTGGACACCTCCACTTCCTCCTCAGCCTCCTCCGCCTCCTCCTGCCTGTCCTCATCCTCCCCGGCGGCCCCAAGAATTTCCTGACACTTCCAGGAAATCCTTGGCTGTATTCCTGGTACCATCCTGACCGGCTCTGCGTGTGTTGCTGGCGATAAGTACAAGCCGTGATTCAACAATCTAAACCAACATCATAAAAGCGTTGCGCTCACAGTGGCAAGCCTGTGGCATTCAAAGCATGAGCCTGATTCGACCATCTGGCTCATCAGGGTAGTGGACAATCACTGACCTTATGCAAATTCATGGTGTGGTGAAAATGCAACGGAACAGACCAAAAAGAACGGAATGCGAGAAGAGCGAAAGGATGGGGAGAAAGGGAGGCATTAGCCTCTGCTCGCGCAGCTCATCTTATAGATGTTGCACACCCAATCCGACGTAGGAAATCCGCCACCGTGCCTCCTGCACATGGTAAAATGTCCCCTGGTTCACTGTAGGCCTAGATGATCGGACACTCGAGGATTGGAATCCCACCGGCCTTCTGGGCGGAGGTGGTATAACGAGTTTGTTTCTCACCTCTGCCAAAATTCTTCCGCCTCGTCTTCCTGTTCTGGGAACGTTCACCACTGCTCCTTATAAATATACACCGCCTCCCCCACTCTACCGGGGGCCACCCTGACACCACGACAACCCCCACAGTCCCCGTCAGAAAGCATACAAAGCGAACGTTGCGGCAAAATCTGGATCATGCGCGGGCTTCCCGCGACCACGTTGTATTGGTTTTGTAAAAGGACGACGGGGGTGCAGGCATATTGCCTGCTGCGCGCAGGCCAATCATCCCATTCCAAAAACATAACGAAATACACCTTTTCGCAACGATCATGCGTTGGCGACCGGCAGTCACTTTGCACAGCTATTTGACATGGATGATGGAGGGCCCTGGCACGCGCGTTGCATATCGTGGGCGTCGCGAATATGGCTGGCGCCTGCATTGGTTGCCGATGATGGTCGATGGCGGCTCCTGCCCATGCTGGGACCCGAGTGCTAGGTTATGTGGCGGGAAAGCGGGTGGAAGTGAGCGAAGCGGCCGTCCTTCTGGGAGTAGCTTGATCACTGCTCCTCATGAACAGACACCCCCTCCCCCATCCGTCCAGCGACAAACCCAGGCCAATGACGACACGCACCCATCACCCTTGCAACGCAAAATCCACATAGCGCCCAAATCAGAAGCATTCGCGGAAGGGCCCACGATCACATTGCACTGATTTCTGAAAGGGAACGGCGGGGGTGCCAACAGATGGCCTGCCGTGCACAATGTCAGCAAGCCCCCCCCCACACACACACACACACACACACACACACACACACACACACACACACACACACACACACACACACACACACACACACACACACACACACACACACACACACACACACACACACACACACACACACACACACACACCATCTCTTGCGAAACGATACGGTTGCACTCCGCACCAAGATCTGGAGCATGTGCGGGCGCCCCGCGGACACTTTGCATTGAGTTCAGAACAAAGTCAGCGGGGAGCGGGGAGGTCCACACGTCACATGCTCTTGGCAGGCCCACCGTCCCTTCTTCAAGACTGCTTTTATATGAAAAAACATGTTACCAGGGACGGCGGGAGTGGGCGGCATACTGACTTCTGCGTGCAAGCCCACCATGCATGCGAAAAGCACGCGCAAATGATCGCGGGCGGGCACCCACACACACACACAAATGCACGCACAACACAAACAATACACAACGCTGGCAAGCCCGCCGTCACGTTGCAATACGTGTTAGCCAGGTTGGCAGTGAGGCCAACATAACGCATGCTTTTTGCAACTTCGTCGTCCTTTTCAAGGAAAGACAGAAAATAGAAAAAAGAGCTGCACGCAATGAAAAGCTGGGGTCAGGAGGGTGTAAGCCGAGACCCTGCTTAGGATAACGTCGTCGACGTACCACAATGTCCCATAGTTTTACCCTTTCTTGACGGGCAGGACGAGAGACAAGAGACATAACAAATGATGGTGAATCAACGGCGGATGTGGCCTCTAACCAACACTCAGATCAGCCGGAGCAATTGGGTATGTCACTGTGCCGTGGTAAGTTGTCATGTACATAGCACACGATGTAAGAACCAGACACTTTAAGATGAGGCCAGCTCCGCTACCAAATAAAAAGGTGGGGCCAGGAGGGTGTAAGCCGAGACCCTGCTTCTGCTTAGGATGACGTCGTAGACGTATCACGACAACCCATATCTCATCCCTGCTTGATGGGCAGGACGCAAGACAAGAGACAAGACATGAGAGATGATGGTGAATCATCGGTGGAGGTGGCCTCTATCCAACACGCAGATCCGATAGTGCTTCGCAGACGCGAGGCAGTCAAATGGGGCAGCGCAACCTTGAGCCAGGTAGCTTAGGACGCAGGCACGACGTTCGTTTTACTAGTCAAGCCCCTTTTAACTCCTTCGGAGTCGTGCTGCCTTCTGCGCGCAAGCCCACCATTTTCCATGAAAAGCAAATGCAAAGTGACTGTGGGCGGGAACCCACA